TATCTCTGTAGTTATGCTGCTATAGGCTTAGGCTGCTGGAGGACATAATGACCACTTTCACCCTCTTCGCTACAGTCTCACACTACTCCCCAATTCTGGATTATTTCCTGTTATTTCAGTTTTTAACTTTATGTTCTCTCTCTTTTCTCTTCCTAGAAGCTACACCTGGCCTGGCTCTGTGTCTACCTGTGACACCTTTCTGGAGAGGGGCATCGTCCAAGCTTCTGCTGGCAACAACTTAATGCTCACTCTCTACTGATGATCCACATGGCCCTGTCTTTTAGTGTTTAACCCTTTTTTATGATTTTCCATATGTACAGCGCCTTGAGTGCCTTGTTGCTGAAAAGCGCTATATAAATAAACTTGACTTGACCTGACTAGTTTTCATTGTTCCCCGCTGGTTCCTTATGTTAACAACCCTTGTTGTATTCCCAAGTTCCTCCTTATGGTTTGTTTGTCTCCTGACTGTATGCCTGGACTACTTTCCTGTAAGTCATTGCCTTAAAATTAAAACATCTACTCACCATGTGGCCTCCTCGCCATGATCTGCATTTGGGTCCTGCCACCAAACTCACAATTTTGACAGGCTCGGCAATGAAACAATTGCTAAATCAACAGGAACAACATACAACTAGGCAATGTACCCCCAGCTACATTTATTGTATTGACCTATACATATATTGCAGATGTGGGTGCATTTAAAATAGATGCACAGGTTCACAATACAAGCTGTGGCTTACAACAACACCATGCTATAAGTGTTAAAAAGCTATTCTTGCTTATTACAACACTGCACTTTAAATGTTAAATATCATTCTTGCTTACCACAACACTCTGTCTTAAGTGTTAAAATGCTATTCCTATGTTCAAGGAAATGTTCGAGATGCATTGGGCAGGACTAGCAGTGAGTTAGACAAAATGAGGTTAACTGTAAAAGTTAAACTGGGCAACAAAACATGCTCCACACACAGTGAAAATAAAAACACATAGTGTTTGAATAGCCAGAAGTGATAATGAATCATAAAATTAACTATATAGTATAATCAGATCGTGAACTGTGGTCTGCACAGGTAACACACTAAAATGAGCCAAAGCCTGTGATTACAGCTGATGAAATTAACTAAAGGGTCAGACCAGTTGCAAACTGTGGTCACCGTTAAAACACACTGCAGTACGTTGCAGTGTGTAAATACAGATGTGCAGAAACGTTTGGATAAGATAACGTGAAATTAAATTGCAAACAATAAACTACACAAAACAACCCACAAAGCTTCTGCAAATATGTCTATACAGCAGAGATGATTATCATTTGTAAAAGAGAGACACTATAAGTTATTATAAACCTTAGGCAAAGGTCTGAAATCATAAAACTCTAAAATGTCACAATTTGTGCTATTGTCATATATGAGCAGTGACAGCTGATGTTAGAATAACAATTGAGGGACAATATTGTGTTGTGAAATAATGATTCTTTGGATATTAGCAGCTATTAAAGTTTATAATTAATAATTAATAATGAATAGCAAATTTATTCATACAATTCAAATACAAAATCCTTTAGTCAGACTAACAAATCAGAGCATCACTGTTTGGCAATAGTGATTGGTTTAACTACTAGCAACTTTTAAAAATTATAACAATAAATTAAAGCTGCAAACAGCATTGGGCGCCCCTCGTGGCTCAGCGCCGCTCGGCCTATGTAGCGACCACAGGAGCATCGCATCGCTTAGGCCACGCCAGCAACGATCCTGTGGCTCAGTTACGCACCTTACCACTAGGCGGCAGGGTGAGCAGGCTTTCATGCAATCTTCGGTCAAGTGGAAGTACTGCTCTGTCGAGAAGCATTAAAAATTTTGCGTAACTTTGACCTTCCTGATGAAAGCAGCACTCACTTGTTTATTAGTGGGGTGGGCTAAAGTGATGTCATCAATCGACTGCGTGAACATGTTCAGCATTGATCCAAAATGATGCATACTAAATTTGAGGTTGACCCAAAGATGTAAGAGGGAGCTAGAGCCCTTGAAGTGTCCTAGGGGACGGCGTTAAACCAAATTCCAATGTAATGTAATAGAGCTGTTTAGGGGCTGACAAAGATCAACCATATTCAGTTTGAAGTAAATGGGACCATGCATGTGTAATTTAGAGGCAAACATATGGCCATGGCGTGACATCAGATTTCGCCATGCCACCACGGCCACACCCTGTAGCCAAACCTGTCAGTACTGGAGACCAAGTTATACCATCATGTTATCTGTCATTGGAGACTGTTTCATGTTGATTAGGTGAAGGCAATCAAATATCCCCCACACTAAGTGAAACATTACACTTCCTGTTCTCAGGGGGCGGGGCTTTGATGATGTCAGCATCTGATTAGTGAATATTGTTAAGTGCCAGAGGCAGATCAATCTTAGAAGGTTTCATGTCTCTGTGACTTTCCTTGTAGAAACTATAATAATTTTATGTTTCATGATGAGAAGTCAGACTTTGAGGCTTAGCCACGCCCATATACTTTGATGTAGCAAAAAGCTTTTGATAGCTTTTAATCCCCAATGCATTAAGACTTTACTAATTGATTTCGAAGTCTGTAAGTCAAAAGCTGTAGGAGGAGTTTGCTCAGATATGTGGGCTAGAAACAGCAAAAATGGGGTCAAAATGGCAACTTCAATCCAAAATAGCCGACTTCCTGTGGGGTTTGGGCCAATGCTCCAAGAGACTTTTTTACAGGTCCTGAGAAGTTACATATGTCTACCAAATTTCACAATCCTCGGTCAAAGCATGGTTTGGGGCTGATTTTTAAAAATTTTGTAGGGGGACGTCTGGGTCCTTTGTAGGGTTTTGAGTTCATCCAACTTGTTTCCCATTGATCTCACATTGCCCATAATAATCGCTGGAAGAGATGGTTTGAACTTTCTCCTTCTTTCTCTTCTCTTTGCTCCTGCTCTGCATCCAGGGCACCTTCTTTTCAACTCATCAGGGATTAGGGGTTGTAGTTGAAGTATTATTTTAGGTTTTGAGAAAATAATCAGCTGTTCCCGGTTATAAAAAAAAAAGCCCCTTTGCCATGGTGACGCATCATAACAATTGTCCAAAAGTAAAAAAGTCAGTCAATCAGTCATCTTCTATACTGCTTCTTCCATAGTGGATCACAGGGAAACTGGTGCCTATCTCCAGCAGTCTATGGGCGAGAGGCAGGTTACACACTGGACAGGTCACCAGTCCATCGCATGGCAACACACAACCATGCACACACTCAGTCACACACCTAAGGGCAATTTAGAGAGACCAGTTAACCTAATAGGCACGTCTTTGGACTGTGGAAGGAAGCCGGAGTATCCGGTGAGAACCCACGCATGCATGGGGAGAACATGCAAACTCCATGCAGAAAGACCCCCGGCTGGGAGTCGTACCCAGGATCTTCTTGCAAGGCAACAGTACTACCACTGTACCACCGTGCAGCCCAAGTAAATAAGTACCCGCAAAAATCCTTCCAGCTGCACAGCATCAGACACCATAGATAATCATCCAAAAGAATCATTTTTATACACCACAAGAGGAATTTGAGTTCTTAAAAATAATTAATCACAATAAGAAGTAACAGAGCTAATCCAACCTGCTGCCACCTTGAGCGGCGTTATTCAAGAAAAAAACTTAACACTATAAACTAGAGCGCACCTGTGCATAGTGCTGGAAAAAAAGCACCTCTCCACCATTGTCTGCCTCTTTGCTGTCATCCAAGAATGCAGAAGAAAAGAAGGTAAACAACACAGGGGATTCATCATTGAAAACGATTTGGGTGAAAGTAGCAGGACACGACCCTAAACATGCAGCCAGAGCTGGTTTAGAACAAAGTGTAATGTGTGAGAATAACCCAGTCCAAGTCCAGACCTAAATCAAACAAAGAGTGAGGGAAGTCGCAAATTTCTGATTATTCCACTTCACAGTTATGTTATAGTTTGTGTTGTTTGTCATATACAGTCTCAAAAAATACAAAGAATGATGTGGTTGCTTCACAACAAAATGTACAAATTTTTAAAGGGTAATAAAACCTTTTCAAGATGCCATTTGGAAATTATAATTAATTGCAAGGTGAGTATTATTGCAATTTATTCAAACGAATGGTGATTTTTTTTCCCTCCAAAATGTGATGCTAATGAAAAAAAACTAAATAATCAAGACCATCAGTAAACATAAAAAATCTAAAGGTTGTTTTCTCATATTTTATGTTATGTATTAAAGTACATGTTTGCACAGCTGCAATAGTTTTTACATGCATCCTAAATGGCCATCATTGTTACTGTTCAGGGCGAGGAATCGTACAAAGCATATCTAAAAAGCTATGTAGTCTCTTCTCTGTTTATGCAATCTGTCCCTGCAAATTTAGACAGTGTCAGAGCAGTAAATGATAATATAACCATGGCACTAGTGGCCTTTGTTGACAGTTACCAGACAGAAAAATAGGCAGAGAGACAAGGGGGGAGACATGCAGCAAAGGTCTCAGGGTTGGGAATTGAACCCAGTATAGCCGCATCAAGGACTATAGGCTCTGTATCTGGGGCACCCGCTCTACTGCTACATCATGCAATGCCCCAATATAACCATGTTTTAACAATGAACTTGAGGTTTTAATCACTGTAGTATATCTCTGTAAGTGCAATGATAAAAAAAGTTTGTCGGTGCTTCAGACTTGAATGGTTTATATTATTGGTGGTTCATGCATATCATTCATTCTGTAAAGCATTCCAGTGCTTTGCAACACTTTATTCTTTTGTCAGTTTGAGTCAAAAATCATGAAGTACTTTTAGATTTTTAGAACATTTTAGAATAAACTAAAGCACTAATTATTAAGCAGAACATGATATTTGAAAAGAACACTCAAAGAATAAAAAAACACTTGATGGCGGATTCTGCTTTTTTGTATGTTCTTCCAGCAATTTCCCTTTAAGTTATCCCAGGAGTTTCCATTACCTGATAGCAGATGTAAGCCTTTTGCTTCTCCCTGCAATACTCTGAGTCTTCCAGTCCAGTTCTGGAACAACTGTTGTAATTATATGCCTTTGCTTTTTGAATCCTGAATGCATGAAATGAATGACAGTGATGGTGAAGTCAGCACCACTCATGGTAATGAAGTAAAAGTGGGATCTGAAAAAGGTTACTCTGTAACACAGCAGTGTGAAGTTCATTAAAAGGTCAAAACTGTCAGGTATTTGGAGTATTGAAATAGGTTTTTCCACACCATTTTGTTGCTGAAGTAAATTGAGGATAATAAATAATTACCATGTTTTATGTCATTTTATGTCCAAATCTAAACAGATTGACATTTTTGTTGTGTAGTTGGTTGAGCTATAACTGAATGTATGAAGATTTAACAATAGCATGTTTTTTTCCAATTAGTGGTTTATTGATCACCAACTTCTATATTTTACTTTCATGATTGTAAAATGTATTATGACATTTTAACAAACTCAATATGGGAAAACTACTATGTTGGTGCCCATCTCCAGCAGTGGATGGGCAAAAGAAGACCTACTTGCTGCAAGAAAACAAGTCTGCCAGCAGGTAGCCCCATTCCTCTCTAGTCTATACTCCACATTATATAGATGAATTACACATAGACCGATGTTTTCAAGCCTTTATTTCTGTAAGTTATGATGATTTTTCCGATTAGAAATGAAAACACAACATTCAAGTAGACATTCACGTCAAGATACAATATTCAAGACTCATATTTAAGGGATATATA